GGCAGATAGAGTGCAAACCAGTGAAGTAAACAACAGTGCAGATATAATGATTTGTAGTGCAAAAAGAGCTTATTTAGACTGATTAAAGTGACTGTGTGTGTGTATTTGGGAGTGGGGAGTGGGAGAGTCCGTCAGAGTTCAGTGGTGCGTGGGGCAAAAGAGGGGAGGGGGGGCAAGGTCGGGAGGGAGTTCAGCTTCCTGACAGCCTGATGGATGAAGCTGTCCTTCAGTCTGCTGGTCCTGGCCTGGAGACTCCGCAGTCTCCTCCCTGATGGCAGCAGACTAAAGAAGCTGTGTGTCGGGTGGGTGGGATCACCTGCAATGCAGAGGGCTTTGCGGGTGAGACGGGTGTTGTAAATGTCCTGGAGGGAGGGGAGAGAGGCACCAACGATCTTCTCAGCTGCTCTCACTATGCGCTGAAGTGTCTTGCGGCAGGATGCGTTGCAAGCACCATACCACACAGTGATGCAGCTCGTCAGAAACAGACTTTTGTCAAGAAAATTACAAAAGATTAACAGGGATAAAAAGTGAAGTTGAAGACAAGTGGGGAACCTATAAAATGATCATAAATTATGACAATTTTTGATTGAAGGAAGGAGAAATTAAGAACCCCCTGCAATATTGCTTAAAATGCATTGCCAGTTTTCCATGATAGTTTGCAGACATGGGAAAAACACACACACTTAATTGTGTGCTAAAAGAAAACAACAAACTGATATGATTTCTATCTTTAATAACAGTGAGTAAACATTCAAATGTACTGGAAACTTAGTAGGAATGACCCACATGACGTCTTTGTCATTTGTTTTCCTCATACAGAACCCTTTTAATCTCTGTAACTGCATTTAATGAACTACAGTGAGAATTTCTCTGTTCTTTGGTCTGAAGATCTAATGGTATGTCTCACTCCTGGAGTGAAAGAATCCCAGATGCCAAGCACATCTCTGACGTCTGTGAAAACGGACGACCCAGGAGCAACTCATGGCAAGGTAATGCACCCATCAATACATCCGCTCAAAATGGCAAAGCTTGCATCAGATTTGTCTCAGCATTCATATCATGTGTTCTTCTCCTCTGTCGATGCAGGAAACATCACAGGTACCCGTAAGAAGCTCAAGGGAAAGAAGTTCCGTCCTCGCTCCAACTCCACAGAGTAAGAGATGCAGTGTTGCCATATGACATCGTACAGTGACTGATGTAGATGTTGGACTTTGCATGGAGTCTTAAACTCTATGCCATTTGTCATTACTACAGTCCAAACAATTTTATTGAAAAGTGTTTGGAGTAAATGTTGGTTTGTTTTGGGTGTGCACTGATGTGTGCATTGGTTTAACCTCTGGAAACAGCTCGTTGAAACTGACCTGCATGTCTGTCATCATCTGTATGCACACAATATACATTCTGATTCTGATTTCAGTTTGATGCTCGTTTCTGCACCTAAACTCTCTTGTTTCAAACGCATGTGACAAACTGACTTCAACTAAAACAAAAAAACAACATGCAGCTGACCTACACAAATACTACTAACTTTATCTCAAGCAAAACATATTCAGAAACGCATTAGTAAGCAGCATTGCACTTCTAAAATGTGCTTTAACGTTGAAGTTGATGCTTGTGGAAAAGTTCTGCTAAATTTAAAGGAATAGATCACTGAAAAATAAATCATCATTCACTCATCATGTCATTCCAAACCTGTATGACTTTCTGTTTTTAGAACACAGAACAGAATGTTGATGCTTTTCTATACTAAACAATTTAGTGATCAGGGACTAAGCTATTTAGAAGTATCAAAAAAGTAGTCACTATATTCTAAAGGTGTGTCCCAAATCTCGTACTTATGCGCTACTCTATGACGTTTTTTAGTATAAATAGTGCAAGTAGTGTGTTCACACTGAAAATTCCAAAAAGAAAAAGTGCACTTTAAATACCCTGATGATGCACTTAAATAACTGGAAAAAAACGGTTAATGCACTAAACTGTCACAGCTGTAATTATGTAGTGTAGGGGGAGGGGCGATCAAACTCAGATTATTAATGACAAAATAACCTCATGTAATTTATACACTACATGGTTGAGTACATAGTGTATAAGTGCATAGTATATAGTGCATCAATTACTTAATGATGTGATGTTAGGAGGAGATCTTAATTTAAATCTAATTACTGATAACCTTAACCTCTGCAATAACTCTTAAATCTAATTGGCATACATCTATTCAATCTTGATGCTTGAAGAAATATTATGTAGTATAGATGTAATAGTTTAATATTACTGCGGAAACTGTGATGCATTATGTTCAAGATTTATTTTATGAATAGAAAGTTCAAAAGAACGGCATTTATTTGAAATATTAAAGACATTTATAATGTTACAGAAGATTTCTTTCACTTTTGATCAATGCATCCTTGCTGAATTAGTGTTCAGTTCTTTAAAAAAAAAAAGCTTACTGACCCCAAACTTTTGAACAGTAGTATGTAAACTTTGTTTGAATATGCACATGTACGAATGAGATAGTAGTGCTAGAGTAAGGGGAAGATTTTCATCTAATACAACTTAAATTTCAATCGTTTACTTTCTAAAAGTTATTGTATGGCTTTGAATACAGTGCACAAGTTATACAGACTGCTTTGATTATTCTGTTTTTGTCATTTTAGATATTCACTAGCCACTATTTCACTTTCATTGAATGGAAAATAATATTTTGCTTTGTGTTCCACTGAAGAAAGAAAGTCAAATAGATTTGGAACAACAAGGAAATGATGACAAATTTTACATTTTCGGGTGAACTAAGGTCAATTGGATGCTGACGTTTACAGCAGCAGAGTCTTACATTTTTCTGTCCTGCATCAGCCATAAAGCGAAAAAGCTTCATGATATCTGTGTAGGTGCTGTACTCTGAGCTGCTGTCTGATCTCTCACCTGCATCTTGGACCGTAAAGAATTTCAGTGCTGCTGCTGTCTTTTACCAACTTCCTCCTTTATCCAGTTTCTCCTATCTCTCCTGTTCTTTCTCTTCTCCCCCTACCCTACCCTTCCCTTTCTCTATCTCTCTGTTAAGAAAAAGTGCACTTTAAATACCCTGATGATGCACTTAAATAACTGGAAAAAAACGGTTAATGCACTAAACTGTCACAGCTGTAATTATGTAGTGTAGGGGGAGGGGCGATCAAACTCAGATTATTAATGACAAAATAACCTCATGTAATTTATACACTACATGGTTGAGTACATAGTGTATAAGTGCATAGTATATAGTGCATCAATTACTTAATGATGTGATGTTAGGAGGAGATCTTAATTTAAATCTAATTACTGATAACCTTAACCTCTGCAATAACTCTTAAATCTAATTGGCATACATCTATTCAATCTTGATGCTTGAAGAAATATTATGTAGTATAGATGTAATAGTTTAATATTACTGCGGAAACTGTGATGCATTATGTTCAAGATTTATTTTATGAATAGAAAGTTCAAAAGAACGGCATTTATTTGAAATATTAAAGACATTTATAATGTTACAGAAGATTTCTTTCACTTTTGATCAATGCATCCTTGCTGAATTAGTGTTCAGTTCTTTAAAAAAAAAAAGCTTACTGACCCCAAACTTTTGAACAGTAGTATGTAAACTTTGTTTGAATATGCACATGTACGAATGAGATAGTAGTGCTAGAGTAAGGGGAAGATTTTCATCTAATACAACTTAAATTTCAATCGTTTACTTTCTAAAAGTTATTGTATGGCTTTGAATACAGTGCACAAGTTATACAGACTGCTTTGATTATTCTGTTTTTGTCATTTTAGATATTCACTAGCCACTATTTCACTTTCATTGAATGGAAAATAATATTTTGCTTTGTGTTCCACTGAAGAAAGAAAGTCAAATAGATTTGGAACAACAAGGAAATGATGACAAATTTTACATTTTCGGGTGAACTAAGGTCAATTGGATGCTGACGTTTACAGCAGCAGAGTCTTACATTTTTCTGTCCTGCTTCAGCCATAAAGCGAAAAAGCTTCATGATATCTGTGTAGGTGCTGTACTCTGAGCTGCTGTCTGATCTCTCACCTGCATCTTGGACCGTAAAGAATTTCAGTGCTGCTGCTGTCTTTTACCAACTTCCTCCTTTATCCAGTTTCTCCTATCTCTCCTGTTCTTTCTCTTCTCCCCCTACCCTACCCTTCCCTTTCTCTATCTCTCTGTTCACCATCGCTCCTTTCCCATCCTCATCCTGCAGGTATTTAACCCCTTGCGTCAAATCAGAGTATTATGTAACTAAATGGGTAGAAGATGTGAATAAAAACACTGAAGGACCTTATATTAGGTACAATAACATCAGACTGCATTATATCTGTCCCTATCCATCAGTTGTTTGTTTCCTTGACCAAATATCATTTTCAGAGATGAGAACTGAGTGTTAGGGATTGAAGAGCACTTGCTGGCAGAAACGACATGAATCCTCTCAAAATCAAATATTAATTTCAGTGTATTTGTTTCTATTTGATCTAATAATTTATTATTCCATTACAACAAGTCATCAACAGATACACTAGAAATTAAACTGCAATATCACATTAGAGAATTTCTTTTTAAGTAGTGCACTGTAAATGCATGAACATTTCTACAGTTACAAGGGTCAACAGTATATCCAGATACCCAGTGCTTTATAAGCATAAATCTTCCATTCATACTCCACAATAAAGGAAGACTGAAGGCATTTGATAATCAGTGCATCATTTGACATAAACATCGATAATCATGTGATGCAAGTATCCAAGAATGGCTTTCATATGATCATCTCACAAACCCAAGAACATGTTCAGATAAGATTTCAGTCCAACATCAACAGAAATAAGAAATAATTTTTTACATAGAAAATATTTGTAGGGCCATTAAGGTTTTTGTTGCATTGTGACAATTGTTCAATGAAAAAAAAGGACATTTTAAAAAATTCTTAAAATTCTCATTATTGTAATGCAAATAAATAATTAAAAAATATATTGTAAAGCAAATATACATCATATTACATTTTTGTACTACCTTTAATTTATTTGAATTTAAATAAAAAATATTACAGTAGTTCTGTCAATGCAGTACAACTAAAATGACTATTAATGAAAACACCAGCGAGTTATAATAATTAAAAAAAAAAAGTATTTTGGGGGTGAAATGTGTGGGAAACAATAAATATTGTCACAATGACAGTCATCATAATGTTCCTAAAAATGATTTTATATGGGTAAATATATATATTTTATATGTCATTATCATACACTGAACAAGATTATAAATGCAACACTTGTTTTTGAAAAAATATTACAGTAGTTCTGTCAATGCAGTACAACTAAAATGACTTAATGAAAACACCAGCGAGTTATAATAATAAAAAAAAAAAAAGTATTTTGGGGGTGAAATGTGTGGGAAACAATAAATATTGTCACAATGACAGTCATCATAATGTTCCTAAAAATGATTTTATATGGGTAAATATATATATTTTATATGTCATTATCATACACTGAACAAGATTATAAATGCAACACTTGTTTTTGCCCCCATTTTTCATGAGCTGAACTCAAAGATCTAAGACTTTTTCTATGTACACAAAAGGCCTATTTCTCTCAAATATTGTTCACAAATCTGTCTAAATCTGTGTTAGTGAGCACTTCTCCTTTGACTGAAATATAGCTAGGATGTGTTTTCGTGAGGTTCACTCAGGTGCTCTGTGTAGGCTGTTGTATTTGTACATCTGTGTGTGAACATCAAAAGACCAAACCAGCCTCATTGATTGTACTTAAAGTTCTGTGTTTGATTAATTGTTGTTTTATTCCTCCTTCACTGTTCTGTCACTCTGACACTCAGTGTCCCTCTCTGCATGCCAGCTGCTGCTTAACGTGTGTCACTTTTGCACTCTATGATGTCTTCATCGTTTGGCTACCATAGTCTCTGTGATGATCACATGTGTCGGTCCTGATCACCTCATCATGTCCGCCATGTTTGTAAGCCCACATGACGCCGGGTATGTTTGTTCGTTAAACATCCCAACAGCACTACATTGTGCTCACAGTATCTGGCCTGCTTCACTCTCCAGTAAGAGCCAGTGGGTATTTTTGTGGAAAAGACTGATGAAGTTAGTGATTTTGGATGATGGCTTGCCGTGGAAACACTCCCTCTGACCTCGTCAAGGGGTCAAAGGTGACCGCTCCATGTTCGTTAACGCTAGTATCCGGTTCACGCACTACAGTACTAATGTCACATCTCTCCACTCTCTCAGGACACTGTCACCCGCCAAATCGCCCACTTCTTCAACGGGCTCCATCGCCTCCAGCCGGAGATACCCCTACCCCATGCCTCCCCTTCCAGATGAGAGGAAGGCCAACAGACAGAGTGCCAGGGTAAGACTTATCATATGTCAGCATCACTTTATTGTCATTAGCACATGATTCAATTATTTAGACAGAACAGTTTCCTCAGAACAATGGTTTAGCTCTTTTGTTTCTCAAGGGGTAATTACACTGCATTTTCTGCACATTGTGTAACTTTAGAGCTTTTACTTGAGATGATCCGTTCACTAATGAGGAGAGCTTTCAAAACACTGCTTCAAGAAAATTTGTTTTTAATCAGTGGTTCAGAACTTGTATCAAACTTTCAAAATTCCAGTGGTTCGCCACTAGATGGAGTCAGGGTTATTATAGTTAACTAAAAGTAAAACCGTTAAAAAATTGTTACTTGAAATAAAATAAATGCTAGCTGAAATCAAATAAAATATGAAAAAAAAACATTTCAGCTAGTTTCCACGGCAACATTTCTTATTTTCATTTAATTTAACTTAATGTTCTTAACTAAAATTAAAATTGAAATAAAGATGAATAAATATATAGAGACACGTAGAAACAACAAAAACTAACAAAAATGACAAAAACAAAAATTACTAAAACTTTAACTAAAATCAACATCAAAGCAGAAAGCAAAAATAAAATCTAATTCAAAATATTAACAAAAACTATAATAGTATTTCAATTATACTAAAATGTCTAATGGTTTTTAACTAATCTATGATTAGTTTTATTATGTAGGTACATTTTTAATTAATTTAATGAATTTTTATTCTTGTGTATAATAAATGTGTATAATACAAAAAGGAAAACTTAATTTCCTCTACTTGACTTGTTTGTCAAGCCCTGCCTAAAAACACAAAACAGGGACTACAAATTAATACAATACCATTTTTACAGAACCTTAATTTTCAATGGTATTTAATTTAATATGAAGGTTGCATTTAATAGATTAGTTTTATTAAAACATGCAATTGTTTTATAAATGTGTCATCAGTGTCTGTTGCATTTACACGATTTTGACCAGCAGGTGCCGGCCGCCATCCCGTGATGTTTCGAGCGCTTCGAAACAGTGAATCATTTTTACAAAGAAATTGGTTCAGTTGATTCAGAGCTTTGAAAAGCTTTGTTTTCTCATTGCTACTATTCACTAATAATATGAAGCACTTAGTTGAAAGTAAACTAGATACCCACAAGCCTGAGGCCATATTCACAAAAAAATGAAAGTAAAAAAAGATACATTTTAAGAAGTTTATAAAAATGTTCCTAGGTGCAATTATTGAAAATGTTCTTGAAAGCAATTCTTAAATATTTACTCAAGAACATCTAATTTTGCTGAAGACTTTGTGCTGCCTGCACATTCCAGTAATAATCATAATAATCATGCATACTTTTTTTTTTTATCATGACTGGATGGAAGTTCAGTAATCATTTTTTTTATCTGCTATGCTACTTGTTTTTTCTTTTTAAATAACACTAGTCATATTTATTAGCACGTGTTCATTATGTCTGTGCGTGATCTGTTTCAGCTGTGGGAAACATCAATATAAAAGAACTCCTCGAAACTGGTCTGCAAATCTCCGTAAGGATTTCTCTGCTTTTGTATGAATGAGAAAACAAAATAAGTAAGAAAATAAGGAATTCAAATGGAGAAACAAGGGATGAGTGAATGGAAGAGTTGGGCATGGTCTCCTCCGATCTCGGTTTAGCATTTGTGGCATGGAGCCATCTTACCCTGGACGTTGAGGAGCGCTGTATCAGAATCCCATTCCTGCTGTCATTCATAAACAGGACTCAGGAACATGATTTCATCACAAGACAAACCCGGAATGACAGCCGTGCTGAGCAGACACAGAGACAACAGCAGCCACTCGTGCCCTCGTTAAACCCCGCCCCCACACAGCCTGCCCCGTCCCCAAACACATGCTGTCTTGTGATTGGTGCCCTTGATGCCCGGGTGCAAGAAGCTCATGCAGGAGCAGGAAGTTAACTATTCTTTTGAACGCACGCTGTCACTGTAGAACCTACTGCTGTATGCATGAGAAAACATGTTTATCGATTCCTTGTAGTGTAACGATGTACAAATGTTTTAAGGTCTTTCACTCAAGGGTGCCGCATGTATTGAAGGACAGCTTTGTAGGCTGGTAAGATTCAATCCCATGTCCACTTCACCAGAACATCATCCGGTCCCGTTCATACAGTCATATCTTCTCAGAGAATTTTGTACATATGTCATATAATTCAGAGTGAAATGTGAGAGTGTAGTATTTGATCGGTTTTGACGTTTGTTGTGGAGAGCGTGGTGGAACTTTTTTTCTGCTTTAAAGTGTCTGTCCTGTGATCGTCTCCCTGAATTTACAGAATTAGTTTCAAGCCTAGCGCACGCTACACAGAAGCACCATTTCATGAATTATGCGTCAGATCGTAGCAGTGCATCGCAAACAACGATAATTTTGTAATGAGCACATTTCTGCGTCAGATTGAGTAAAGATGCTAAGATCAATTATAAAGTCGCGACTGAAGTGACAATAGCCACAGACATTTTTTTCCTACATTGTGATGTAACCAATTATAGAAAAAAAAAAGGACAGGGACTTGATTCTATTTGTTGGTAGCTGATTGGATGGAGGCAGATCTGAATGTAGAGCCAATGGGCGGAGCATGGCATCTGGCTCCCCCTCTCTGGATGTAATGGGTGGAGATTTAAAGTCCAACCACTCCCTAACCATAACCCTATCTAAACACTAGGTCAAGCTCCACCCATTAGGTCCAGAGAGGTGGAGCTGGATTAGGTCAAGCTCCACCCATTTGACTCTTTTGGCAATTGTGAGAAAAGGGCGGAGTTTAAGTGAACTAAATGATGGAAGTCCAACATACATCACCCTAGAGAAGTCTCGTTTTTAATGCTTTTTCTGTTACAGAAT